ATTCTACCCCTTCGCCATGGGGATCCTGTCCTCGCGACAGACATCCCGCTTTAATTTGGAGCTACCGCATGTTCACAACAAAGAAAAGTGAGGTAATGCTCCACTCTTCCTTACCGTCCTAACTCTCCTCAGATCACCCTTCTCATAAATTTTGTCTGTCACCCAAAGTAGCTCTACATGGGGCGTTAGTCCTCAAGCTTGTTCACGGAAAGCTTTTAAAGGTTTCCAAAGTGTGCCTTTTCCACAAGAGTTTGTTCTTTATTTATATGTCTAGTCCGGAGTTTCCAAAGAGTGTTCCACAGAATTTTTTTCTTTTACTAATTGCTCCAGAGAGACGTTCCCTGAGAAAAGTTTTCTTGATCGAAAATTTCAGAAATGCCTCAAACTTTATCTGTTTATTGGAGCCATCCAGCAGAGATGAGCATACTAAGGACTTTGAGAAGTCTTAGGGTACTACAGAAACTTTCATAGCCCGGTGTTTTCCAAATCTGACGACAGAATTCTTATTTTCCTTACACACACACACACACAGCACACTTTGGAAAAAGCTACATTACAGCTCATCCTTTTCCAAAAATATAGCATTCCATAACAAAAATCATTGGACATATTTTCTTTTGCTAATATTCTATTAGTATTTAAGAAAATGAATGGGACTAATGCGGTTCCGGCAGCATGGACTAGCCTATGCCAACTAACACGTGCCTCCACCTACGCAGGGGAAGGAACAGAGATAAATGGACCATGACCAGCCCTGGGAAGCAAAGAAAAATGTTTCTTTTCGTATCTTATATCTCAGATCTGCATGGGCCTATGCTCCTGATCTCTGTATCGGGGAATCAGAATTGGCATTCTCTAAATGATAAGAACAAATACAAATAACGAAATAATATGCATTGCCAAACACCAATCCATTCCATGGAATCCAATTGCATCCCAGTCATGAAACAGGGCTTGCAATGGAGAAAATGCTCAGGTAAAAGTCAATGAAAACAAGAAAATGTTGTAGCACTTTTAAGCAATTACCTACATAGTAATACAGTTAGCTGTAACTAACACAACTGGGAAATATCAGCAGAGAATTTTAATGACCTTTTCTTATGTAAGGCTTCTTCAAGCAATTAGATTATGAGAAATTATATTTAAATTATAGGAAATTAAGTTTAAAAAATCGAATGGTTGAAAGTGTGTGCAGTGCGGACTTAAGCTGCTAATTGAGTGAGCGATCATGGCGCAATGTGTCATAACCCCCAAGCAGACCCTGCCATGAGGCATTCTCGGGGCTGCAGCAGCACCGGCGGGGGCGGGGTGGGGACAAAGGTGGAAAAGGGCAGCGGGCAGAGCCAGGCCGAGGGAAAGCATCCCGGCTCAGGTCTGACTCCCCGCAGGCCGCCAGAGAGAATTCAAAGCCAGGATTCAAATAAACAAGGAAAACTGAGGTTTGACGCAGGCAGGATGGTGCAGAACAGAGAGGGGAGGCTGGCAAAAGATGTAATCAGGCCTGTGGACCACCTAGCAACCATCTCCATGCAAAAAAGGATACAATAGCCTTGGTGGTGAGGAAGGAGACCCAGGTCTCTAATTTAGTGAACACCATGTAGCAAATAATTCCCCTCTGAAAATGCCTACCTAATGATAAACACAAACTATTGAAATATATTTTAATATGTAGATATTACATAGGTGGCCAGGCTCCCTTACTACCTAAATAACTTTATCGAGTTATAGACTAGTAAGGCATGAAATTCAACTTTGCACTTCAGAAAAATCACAAATGGTTACATTGTGAGACTTTGGGGTCTGTCCCAAATAGTTGAAACCATAAATGTTAAAACCTACAAAAGCCAACATCCAATAGTATTTAAGATGCTGAGCTTGGTGTTTAACTCAAACAAAAATGCATTCATCCTTCAGGGGCACAAAGAGAAGAGCCATCCCTTCTAAAATTTTTCTAATGATGAAAAATAAGCCGTAGAGGAAGTAAAAACATTCCACGCCACTGAAATCTGTGTTTTAATATTCAACTTCCCCTCCATCCTCCTAATTCTTGGCTAATACAGCAACTTCTTCTCCAGGTAGCGACACTTTTCCAGGCCACCGTGAGTTTGAAGGGAGAGGAGCCCAGGCCAGCCCCAGTGGGTGGTCCTGACTGGCCCGAACCACCCACGGTGCTCATGTGCCCCTTGTTAGGGACTGCCGTGGGTGTGGACAGGCAGTGGTGTGGAATGAACGTTTCTGTACAGTAAGACGTAAGACGGGAGGGAAAGCTTGCCGAGGGAATGGTGAAGAAGGTGTCACTGCTCATGACGGCCACCAGGAAGATGCCAACACACGGAGACCAGAGTTTAAATCACTAGTCTTTGAATTATCAATATGAGAATAAATTGATTGCCTCCCATGGCAGGCGACGGAAGCAGCACCCTAACTGTATCCTCCGCCTCACCTTCTCTCCTTTCCATCCCCAGGATGTGAGGTGCACAGTATGTAATTACCCTACAAATGTATTTAAAACTTCTGTGAGCTGTTTATAGATTGATCAAAAAAACATTATAATACAGTTATATGAACAACTTCATTGTAAACTGAGTAGTTAGACCCACAAAACAAAAATCCTTCTTGTTTTCCAAATGGGAAACTCCCAAGCGTCACATTGTAATGAATGCTCTCGATTCTCCGCCGTTTTCCTCATTCCTTCGTGAGGGTGTGTGCTCGGCTGCCAGGCTAGTTTCCCTGTGGTCCCCTTTCTTGTACATTGTAATTTAGTGAAAACCACTACTTTCCATAAAGGATATGGATGGACGGTAAACTTTTGAGTTCTATTGTTTTTTTAAATGCCTTTATTTTGGACCCACCTATTGATAATGTATCAATCAGGTGACAAAGTTCTAAATTCAAAAGCACTTTCCCCTCCAATCTTTAAAGACGTGCCCTGTGCCACTGCAATACTAGGCATCATTCTTCAGAGGTCTGAGGAACTAATTCTTGCTACTTGGTAGGGGAACTTCTTTTGATCCCCCTTCCCCCACCAACATTGCCCATTCTCTGCAACCCTTCCCAGCAAAACCTCCTTTTCCAGATCTGGTGTCTTCGGCTCCGCCCCCTGGCGCTCCCCTTTCCCAGGCTCTATTTTGGTGTGGCTGGGGGGAAGAGGAAAGAATCCTGGGTTCTCCCACGCAGTGAGGCTATCTTGCCAGCGCTTGCTGGAAACTTTGTGATAAACATTTGACATTAGAATTCAGGTGTTTTCCTGGAAGACTGTTATTCACTTATATTAGTATTTTGATGTTTCCATTTCCTATTATTATTTTGCAGGCACACCCAAAGGGTATTCACCAAGAAAAATGTGTATAGGTGTGTGTGTGTGATTATTGTATGACTCACTGGCTAGAAGGACCTTCATTCGCCACTCAGCTGTCAGAACTGTTGATTCCACCAGCTGCTAATACTGGTCCAATTAGTAAAAGGATGAACTCAAAGGATGGTTTGCTCTTTACCTAATTGTCACATTTTGACCCTTCTATCCTCAAATAGTTTTATTTTAAAAACACAATTTAGCAACCCTAATCACTCTTTTTCTTTCCTTGGGAAAATAATAAAGCAGTTTTTCATTTACATTATACTGTCATAATCTGCTTGGCGACATCTTTTATAGGTGTGAAATTGTCCTAAAAAAGTTAAATAACTAGAGCAGTTATCAAAAGAAAAGCATGTTGACATCACGTTGGCTAGATTAAATAAAATCATTATGAGTCTGTCTGGACTGAAAGTGTGGTCACTCTCAGGCCACAGTGAATTCCAAGAGGCGGCTGGGAGAGGGAGGCCACAGGGACACAGCTGTCACGCGTCCACCCATGCTCTCCACTGTGTTCCTGCACGTGTGCTCCAGGTCCACTATGATTTCCTTTCTCTTTCGCGTAGGCCAGCATTTACCAAACTTCTCCTTTTGCACACGTGGATATAGATGGCTACGCTTACTCAGTGAAAATGGCTCCCCAGTCCAGTAAATTTGGCAAACGATACTTGGTGTCTCTAGTACAGATTCAAAATACAGATCAGCGTGCTAGAAGCGCAAAGCAGCCCGTGACAACGGTATTCAGGCGCCCAAATTCCCAGCGTGTGTGGCGGGGGAGGATTCCTCCCCCCCCCCCCCCCGCCCGCCCCACCAAGCGATGCTCCGGACGCCACTCCCCTCTGACACCGTCTACTCGGAGACCGCCGTGGACCCCACAGGGAAAGGGCTCAGTGCCCTGGGACGGCCCGCTGCTCCCGGCGCCAGCGGTAAGCCCACAGTGTTACCTGTGCCGGGACCGACCGACTGCGGACTGGAGGTCCCCGCGACTGCTTTGTCAAAGAGCCAAAGGGAGGTTAAAAAAGGGTGGGATGGGGGTTTCAAATAAATGTTCAAAATGGGAAAAACAAGATAACCACGCCCTGGAGAAAAATGGAACAGATGCTAACAATATAAAAGTAATCCTTAGAGTTAATCCTGATATGAAAATGGCTTTCCCCCCTTCATTTGTTTGAAGGGCTACAGGTAATCCTCAGACCAAAATTCAAGGTATGGCTATTTCCTTATCAAACAAATCAAACTTGATTTCTAGGAAAGTAAGCTGCATGGATATAAAACAAAAGCATGTTCTTCAGTTTTCAATATAAAGATGATCATTAACAAATACAGCTCTATATAATCTTTTTCCCAACCAGGCCAAAAGAGGAAAGAATCAGTAGCCAGAACATCTGCTCCTTGCAAGCAAACACACCAAAATTATAATTCACAAAATCTTCAAGCTACCAAAACTTGTGAGGGAAGGAGGATGAAAGAAAGCAAGAGAAATGACCAAGTGGCACTCAAACAAGATCACAGTTCAGTCAAAAGTAACTTCTGGAACATGGTCCATGATCAGCATCAGCAGCAGGGCTGCTCACGCTGATCAGCACACCTCCAGAACTGCAGAAGAGCAGAATAAACTTTCAACCAAAAAAAGTGACAACAGAGAACATCGAATTGTAAGTGTTGTATTTCTCTCACTCACATACAATGTTGTATGAGACATTTACTACCTTTATATGTTATCCATAGGATTAATACTCATATGGAGTATAACGTGGGAAAGTGCAGAACTAGAGAAATAAGTCTGTGTCTGAAAACAAAAGCACACACTTAGGATTTAAAAATATTGCACGTAATAAGGATGCGCAGAAATTACTGCTTTTTACAAACAGAATGAGGTATTAGTCAAATTCTAGATAAAGATGAGTGCAAAGAAGAGGAACCACACACACACAAAATACATAAATCCATAGTAAGACACACAGAGCCAACAATTAAGAAAGAAATGTGAGAAGATATGTAAAGTAGCTATGGTTCCAACATTAGAAAATCATTAGCCAGGGGCTGAACACGTAACAATCTCTTGGCAATAGTGCAGAAGTTTTCAACTTTCTTTTGGCCTAAATGACTAGGAGCAATACAAGCATTTCCTTTAATCCAATTTGACTACAGAAGGGCATGGTTCTGAGGTAAATATTAAACCACGCCTTTCTGAAGTTTTCAGTGGAAATTTACCAAGGTACTGCTATCTGTTGCCAAATGACTCATTTTATATAGTTCCATGTACACTTAGCAACCCACGTCAGCAATGCTACAGAACATGCAATTTTAAGTGAGCAGAGGTTTCACTGCAAAAATCATTCAAGTTCACACAATTTAAATGTAAAATAAACTTAAAGGTTTAACCTTTAAATATATATCAGGCAATCTCATTCTTTTCTTGGTAATAAAACGCCACATTCATAAATCCACGGGCAGGTGGAGAAAAAAAGACCAGGAAGAATTAGGTCTTTTTTTCAAGGACCTTCCTTAGGCAGGGACATTAAAAATTAGCTATTTCTCTACTAACTGAATGTTAATCTGTCAAAAACAATTTAAATATATTTAACAGCTACATCAAGTGAAATCATGCACTTGTCGAAATTGTTCACATAAAACTGTTTTGCATCATAGATGGTGAAGAACAGTCAACCAGTCGGGTTCGGTGAGCACAGGAGGGGGAGGCGCTACTGTCCCGAGCAGTCCGTGTACGTCGTGACCATGTTGCCCCTGCGCTGAGTGACAGTCCTGCAGTGCTTGCTGGACCCGTGGAACCCGCTTTCCGTCTGCACTGTGTGCCGACCCGTGGGGTCAAACCCACTGAAAGAGAACATTTTCTCCATGTCTTCAAACATGTCATCAAAGAGTCCACCTCCAAAAGAAAACTCCTGGAAGGGGCGCCTTTGTCTGCTAGAACCATCCTGGCGCGTCTGGAAGTGATTTTCAAAATGCTTCTTGGACCGAGTGTTTTGGTTTTGACCAAAAAACCCAAAGTCTTTGAAAAGGTCGTCAAAATTGAAGTTAAACGACTGCTCGAAAGAGCTTCCACTACCCCTTTGTCCTTTACCATTGGTAAAAGCACTGTGTCCAAGTGTATCATACTCTTTGCGCCTATTAGCATCTGAGAGTGTTTCATACGCTGAAAGAAATGAAAATATTTTAGTAACTGAAGGTAATCAAAAGTATATCCAAACCTCTTCATATCAGTAAGTTCAACTCTTATCTTACATTTTATATCGTAAGTAAAACCAAAACATACAAAAATAAGAATAAAGTTAAAGAGAAAGTTGCAAGAGGCAGGGACTTGGTCTTAACCACCGCACACCATCAGCGGTTGGCACAGTGCCCGCCCCCAGTAAAGGACCACGGAATGGCTGTTAAATGCACGCTACCATTACTACAAATAAGCGTGGGTAACAGTTAGAGTTATTCTTCACATTGCGTAACATCATTACTTGTATTAAGGAATTTGACGGTCAACTATAGTGAATTAAGAGGAATTTAGATTTTCCACTCTTGCTGGTTGAAGTAAATGTTTAACTCAGACCAGCTCAGCTAACTCCACCGACCATTAGTTACTGAGTGCTCAGGGACTGCAATTCGGTTCAGAAATAGTCTTCAGTCAAAATCTGTTTCATACTTCTCCTTTAAAGACAAATGTGGCTTTGTAATGCAGATCAAATGATGAAGAGAATAAAAAGGTATTTCAACCTACTTAAATTTTTCTACAGTTAACACTTTTTAATATTTAGTTTCTATACTTAAACACTATGTTTCATAAGTTATTTTATAAGTTTTGGATGCCAAAAATTCCTCCTGACATAGAAACAAGAAGCAATTTTACAAATAACGAAAGAATAAAATTTTCAAAATTTTAAGATCTATAGGCCAATTAAAAAATTATACTACCATCCGTCCCTCCATCCAGGAACTGGTTATTTGTTATAAGAGAATAGACTTGAGAACATCACTCTATTGAATGAAACGCAGCTCCCCCGCCTCCAGTCCCCACACGCGCCCGCCTTTCCTAGGTCGCACCCACGGGTGGGGACGCAGAGCCACGCTCACCTTCTGCAATCTCTCTGAATTTCGCCTCGGCGTCCGGGCTCTTGTTTTTGTCCGGGTGGTACTTCATGGCCAGCTTGTGGAAGGCCTTCTTGATTTGGCGCTCTGATGCTGATTTTGGCAAACCCAAAATATCATAGTAACTTTTTGAGGCCAAAATTAATTCCGTTATCATTAAAATGCAGATCGCAAAGATGAAAACGGACTGGGGAGTAGCCATTTCTAGTATCCTAAAAGAGAAAAGGAAAAAAAAATTTATCCATGGAGCTAATCTTCAGGCTTTTTCTTTCAAAAGAAACCAAATAAACTTTTAGAATACAAGGTATTTGCCCCTATGTTATTTCATTGTATAAGGGCTTTATTACCCCTAAACTGGGCGTAACTTTCAAGAGCAAATATAATTCATCGAAACAGAGAAAAATCTGTGTCTCTGCCTTTCCACTAACACTCGCGGCATAAACAGAGAACACACAAAAATATTGCTTTTTTACCAGTTACTACTGAAGACTCATCCTACGCAAGAGCTGTAAAAAAGGGTGGAAAATCCAAATAATATCCTAAAGGATTTTCAAGAATTCATATTCTAGCGGAGTTAAAACAGTAGTTGAACATTACGGGGGGGGGGGGGGGGGGCGGGGAGAAAGCCCACTACCAAGGCGAAGAGCTCAATGCGTCTACACCAGCAGCGCCGGCAGCTTCCACTTCGGTGACCAGGGTGTCCCAGTGCCACACACAGCAATCGCAACAACGCGGCAGCACAAGAGAATCAAATCTCTTTCTAAACCCTGAGGTCCCAAACACTTTAACAAAAAGCACGGGTAAACAAATCTAGCTGAAAACTCACAATGAGTACAACTCAAAGAGTCCCGCTAAGGCTGCTGGAAACTTCTCGGTCGCCACTAAAATACTTCTTTAACCCCAGAGAAGATTTAACTTCAAATCCTTGCTCCTTCGGATGTAAGGACTCAGGATTTAAAAGGAGGGAGCCTGCTTTCTGAGCGCTGCACCCAGGAGTCCTTCATAACAACCTATGATGACATAACAGGGCTGACGAAAGATACCAGGGTTTGTGGCAATGCCTGCCTTCCCCGCCTGCGGCCTCTGCTGCGCCTAATTAGCAGGTGGACAACTTCTTTCCAGCCTTAGTCACGGTCACGGGTCCCAGGGATCAAGTGCAGACTCCTGGTACAAAGAACACCCACGGAGCGCGTGGACGCCGCCAGCCCCGCCGCTGGTTCCCGAGCAAAGGGCGGGGCTCAGCCTGGCGGGAGGCACCTTAAGGGGGTAATACAGGTTACTACTCCCCAGTTCCCAGTCGAGTACCAGACACTTGTTTAATCGACTGACTTTGGCGTTGCAATGACTTCTCATTCCCAAAAAGGACCTGCCCGCCGGACGGCAGCCTGGGCCCTGCTCCGCGGGTGGCCCACTGCGGGGGGCGGTCCAGCCTCCACCCAAAGGCGCCCACGACCGCCCCACCCGCCCGTCCCGGCGACGCAGTCGGGGCTGACCGCGACCCCGGGTCCCTTTCGGGACGGGCTGTCCGACGCCCGAGAAAGCCAGCGGCGCGACCCCAAACGGAGCACGCACTACTCGGTGGTTCTGCCGTCTCCTTCTCCTTATACCTTCCTTGACAACGCCGAGCAGCCCCCGGCCCTTGGGCCACCGCGGGGGACAACGAGGCCAAGACAGCTCAGAATGGCCGACCAAGGCCCCGGGGATGCTCTACACCCTGCTCTCCGCCACCCCGGCCTCGTCCCTCACGCGCACCCTCCGGCTGCTGCTGTTGCGATAGGCTACGCACAGCCGCTCCAGCCCGGCCCCTGACCCAGGCCTCCACGGCTTCCAAGAGCCGGCGTGCGCCCCGCGGTCGCTGGGACACCGACCTCGCCCGCTTCCAGCCGTCTCTGCCACCGCGTCCCCAGTCAGCCGGCTCCCACTGGCGGGAGGCTGCGGCTGGCGCCTCCACCTCCAGAGACCTACACGAAACGCTTTCCCATTGGCTCTCGCACCCCCACGTGACCCTGGCGCCCTACGCGCACGTGGAAAACTGTTGTTGCCGGTCAGCCTATACGTCACTTCCGGCCCCAACTTTCCCGAAACCCGAGAAGGCAATTCAGAAGTCCGCAGAAGCGGAAGTGACTACACCGAGGCCGCGTCTTCCTGAGCCAGTCCTAGCGCAGGCGCAGTGGCGCGGCGGCCTAGACGTGCGGCCCCGCCCCAGCCAGGAGGGACCTCCGGTCCGCAGCTGGCTTGGGTCACCCCGGCCCACTCCGGAGCGATGCCTCGCTATTGCGCAGCTATTTGCTGCAAGAACCGCCGGGGACGAAACAATAAAGACCGGAAGCTGAGTTTTTACCCGTGAGTTGTCAGCCTGGCTTTTGGCCCCCGGTGTTACAGCGTGTAGGGCCCGGGTTCGAGTAGTCTCCGGGTGCGGTGTGTCCCTGCGGGAGCGGGTCGTAAAGGATCGAGATGCGCTTGCATGGAAATGCCTATACTGAGCCTGGCCGCCGGGCCCGCAGGCTAGGCTAGACCTGTTTGGGTGTTGATAGTGCCCTTGAAACCGTAAAGTCTGCGCGGCGCCCTGAGGTTCCCTGACTCACCTGAGCTCGTTGCATTGACATCACCCCTGGCAAATGGGAGGGTGCACTCCAGCTCACTGACACCCACTGAGGCAGGTCGCAAGGATGTTATTTAATTCCAGCATCCCCCGAGGAGACGGAGGCCTGTCAGGAAGGAGGGGGCTGATCCCAAAGGTGTGGCAGAGCCATCGGAGGACCTGTCTCCGGCCCAGGGCTCTAGATCCTGGGGTTCGATCGTGCGGAGAACGGGCTGCTATTGCCTGTACTAGTGCCACGAAATGCTCCGCAAAACCGCAGAAGTAGTGCTCACTTTAATCGGGAGAACGGGAAAAGCAGTAATGTGTCGTAACTGACAAGACTCCAGACTTTTTAGGTCCGAACCCTGGCTCCACTACTTTGTAGCTGTATGACCTGCAAATTATTTAAACTCGCTGTGCTTATGATCCTTCACCTGTAAAAGTATTGGAGGTGTTAATAGTACCTCATTCACAAGGAACATGTAAAGAGATAAATCTGCACTTGGCACTCAGTGTGTGCTTAAATGAAAATCAGCATATTTACAATATTCTATTTCCTTTTCCTTCTTGGATTTAAAAATAATTCACTTAACTCCAACCTAGTTATCTCATACTTTCTTCGATTTTTTTACCACTTATTTTGTGAATCCTGTTTTACTTTAGACCTAAAGCTCCCTCTTCACTAATGACAAAGCTCCCTGTTCACTAATGACAAAATGTCAAGATTATAAATCACATGGTTGGGATTAGGGGAATGTATGACCTTGCTTTTTTGCATGAGAAACCTTATGTTGTTACTATTTAAAAAAAAATAGATTATTATGTAATAATAATGACTTGGAGTGTGTTCTTGTAAAATCATTGAAAGAAAAATAAGTTACTGTTAACTGTGTAATACAGTTTAACTCAAACTTATTTAAACTGGTAGGAAAGAGTTTTCTGAAAAATTCTGCCGTTAGTCTAGTTTTGCCTATAAAAAACATTGCAGTCTGTTAAAGCAAACCCTAAGTCAAGATCACTGTTAGTACACATGTAAAGAGCTGTCTTGCCTTTCTCTGTCTTTTCTATTTCATTTGTTTCATATTACAAAATAGGACTTTGTCCTTTTTTAAGGCCATTTGATCTTGTGTCAGTTTCTCTTTCAGAATTTGAATTTTAGAGTTCATTTGTAGTATTAATGTGAAATACATTTCAGTAGAACTTTGTGATTTGTACAGAGCTCTTTCCTGGTTCTAAGCCAACTACACAACAAAATAAAAGTACAATATAATCCACAGAAAATAGGAATAGATTTTATTTTGTTGGAATACATATATTTTACTTGGAGGGAATCTGAGTTATGTTTTACCAGCCATTCTGCTCTAACAGAGCTTCGGCTACACATCTTCTACCTTAGTCCTCTCCCCCACAGAGGTGATGTGATGTAGTCATCACAAAGATGCTCTTATATGTAGGGGTGGTTGCTTTGCTTTCGCAGCACTTGATGCAAAGATTATGTACACAGGCTGCAATCTAACCCATTGGAAAAAATACAATAATGTTTTCCCTTTTTAATTTCAGGTTTCCTCTACATGACAAAGAAAGACTTGAAAAATGGTTAAAGAATATGAAACGTGATTCATGGATGCCCAGTAAATACCAGTTCCTGTGTAGTGACCATTTCACTCCTGACTCGCTTGACATCAGATGGGGAATTCGATACTTGAAGCAAACTGCAATTCCGACAATATTTTCTTTGCCTGAAGATAATCAGGTATGGGAGACAGGGCACGGGGCGGCGCTGATAATACTGAGCAGGGTGGCGGGTGATCTGGTGGAAGGAGTGAGGGGGATGGGTAGCTGCAAAAGGAGATATTTGAGAAAAAGGAAAACTAGTTTATGCTTTTACCGAAAGTGTGATAATTTTTTAAACCTTTAAACTCTTGGGAAAGTGTAGTTTAAGAGGAACAGAAAAGTAACATACATAAGTTGTTAAGTTATAAGTTAATGATCTAAGGGTTTTTTTTAACTGGTTTTTTGAATGATATGAAATGTTTTCATTATATATTGATGATGCTTAAAGCATTATGCTTTTTAGAAACACTTTAAGTTCTATATGAGTTATTAAATAGTTAGAACATTTTTTTAACTCCATAAATTTGCTTGGCCAGTATACTTCTTAAAGTATTCAGCGCTGACTGAAAAGAGAATAAGCCTAATAAGGACATCTTTTTTAGAATTTAAAAATGTTATTTCCTAGGAAAAAGACTCTTCTGAAAAGGACTGTCCGAAGAAAAAAATAGGTGATGAGAAAGAAGTGTGCCTGAAAGCCAAGTCACAAGAATCATTTGTATCAAAAGAGCCAGAGAAAAGGACAGTGAACACAGCTGTCCCTCCTAAACAAGCAGAATCACTCCCTTCCCCTGCACTGGCGAAGCCACCAGCTCCCAACACAGGGAGTGTGCATAATAACATAGTCATTCTTACTCTAGTTAATCAAGACACTGGAAAACCTGAATCGACCTTGGAAACGTCAATAAACCAAGACATAGGTATGGGTGGGTTTCACACATCTTTTGAGAATCTAAATTCTACAGCTGTTACTTTGACAGCCTCAAATTCAGAAGGTATTCAGCGACCTTTGGAAACCCAAGAAGTGTTTGAAATAACTACGAGTCATCTTGCTCATCCAGACGTCACAAATAATTCCATAGAAATTAAGACAGCACAGGAAAATCCATTCTTACTCAGCACAATTACTCAAACAGTTGAAGAATTAAACACAAATGAGGAATCCGTTATTGCCATTTTTGTACCCACAGAAAATTCCAAACCTACAATTAATTCTTTTATACCTGCCCAGAAAGAAACCGTGGAAATGGAAGATGTAGGCGTCGACGACTCCTTATATAAGGATTTAGACTACGAGACAGAAGTTTTACAAATTGAGCATTCTTACTGTAGACAAGATATAAATAAGGAACATCTTTGGCAGAAAGTCTCTAAACTACATTCAAAGATAACTCTTCTTGAGCTACAAGAACAACAAACTCTAGGGAGATTGAAGTCTTTGGAAGCTCTCATAAGGCAGCTGAAACAGGAGAACTGGCTCTCTGAAGAAAATGTCAAGATTATAGAAAACCATTTCACAACGTACGAAGTTACTATGATATAAAGAGGTCTCAAAGCTATGACTTTTATATAAGCATTCTGCAGCCAAACCAAATTATATGTAAAGTGAACTTATTCCTGCATGAAGTTCTCATCATAATGAAGCTAGGAGAGTGCTCTAATGTTATGAACTGCATCCGGATCTTGAAATACTCATTCTGGGGAAAAACTAGAGTGTAATAAGGTTTTATTACTTGGCAATTGAAAATATAGTTAATATGATTTTGTCATAAAATGAGAGAACACAAATATAGTAAAAAGGGCCCAGAATAAAAGTCAGACTCAGGAATAACCCTGGTTCTACCATCGGCATATGATTTAGGCAAGATACTTATCAAGATTAAGCCTCAGTCTCTTAATCTGTAAAATGAGGGCACTTAACTAGATCTAAAATGCAGTCTGTTTATAGTCTGTTCCCTTCCTAGTCAGATACTTTTAATAAAACAACTTTTCTATAAGGTAATCTGTACATACATAATACTGGGTATTGGCTAGAATTTGATTTTATTAGCTGTTGGATTATCCTCAATATTTATTGAATGCGGTGTTGTTTGACCTTTTGGCTAATGTTAATAACAAAGGAGGATACTCCTTTTGTAATTTTATTCCAGTTGAACCTAAAATAAGAAAGCACCCATTAGCCCAGTTCTTAGGAGAGGTACTTTATACTTAAAAGAATATGTATTTCGGTACCATATGTGTGGCTTACCATCATAATGAAACATAGTCATTTAAGCTTCTTAACACCCTATATTTAAGATTATAATTTATAAACCAAAAATTTTAATGAGGCTAATTTTTTAAATATATATATTACTATATTTTAAAAATCATACTTTGTATCTTATATGTGTAGCTTTTTAAAATGTGTGCATGTGTCATTTTTAAATCCAGAATAAGAATAATACTTAATACTATACATTCCCACTTAAGTATATTTTATTAAAATTTATATTCAAGAAATTATAGATATGTAGTGATGGCCTTCAACAGACAAATAGGACAAAGAAGTGATGGTGATGTAAACAAGAAATGCTGCATATATCCATACGAATTTAAGAAAAAATATAAAAGCAAAGCCTTAGTGGTAACAGCAAAAATGTGAAAAATAGATGATCGCTTAAAATTGGAAGTTAATGTAATTAACTATGTTACTGTTTATGATATTGAGCAAGTTCCTGTCAATCTGATTCTTAGTTTTCTTTTAAATGAAAAGTGCTATTTATCTTGAAGGATGATTTTTATAATTCTGTTAGGTAACAATTATGTTTTTAGTCCTGGAAAATAGGAGGAGCTCAGTAAATATTAGTTGACTGCACAGCAAATAGTACTAACTATAAATGCATGTGATTATTTTTTACTATATTTCACTTAGTTTTTTCAGGCTAATAAAATTAATTTACATTATATGACTATAAGTCAACTAATTACCAAAACTTGATTAGAGGTGTCTTTATTGGGTGACCATGTTGAGGGGGAGACATAAATTACATAAATTATGATAATTGGTAGGGTTAATGTGATTTTTAAGTATTTCCGTGTTCCATTTTGCTAATACTTTAAAACTAACATGAAGATGGCCTTGATAAGTCACTAAAAGTGTTGCAACTCAGTTTTTAATTGTATACCTTGTAATTATTTTCTTGTTTAAAATTATTTAACTAGTTTTATTTCTTTAAACTTAATAAATTATAAATATTTAAAATTTTTTCTTGGCTCCTGTATGTCCGGTGTTGGGTGTTCTCAGTCCACCTCTAAGTATGTTTGAGGGTTCTAGCCAACGTGACTTCTACTTGGATTATCCTGGGAGCCCCCTACCTAACCTTGCCTGTGCCTTCGGGGCCTCCGCACTGGCACATCCCTCTGCACACTGCTCTCGCTTTTCACCTGAACTGTGTCACAGACCCGCTGCTTACCTCTCCCAGATCAGAAGCGGTACTCGCTCTCTGGTGCCTATGAACTAAAGCCAAACGTTACCATCACATATGCAGCCTTCTGTGATTCTCTTCAACCTGGACTCCTTAGCATTTCCCACACATGCCAGACAGGCATCTGTCTTCCTGTCTGCTTATTCTATTGCCTATATTTAAGCAGTCTGTCAAAATTTAAAATATTTTGACTTTGAGCAAATTTCCCTCCCTTGATGCCAGTCAAAATTGTTTTCTCTCTGCTTCTGCTGTAACAGCATGTACCTTGTACGTTCTTGACATCATGTCTGTGGCTGTTGCTTTGACTAGACTGCAAGCTTTCTGAAAGTAAAGTTTTCATTAATCACTTGTTTCTCTAACAATTTAATATTCACCCAAATATTTAAATGACTATTTTGTATTTGACTACTTAAAATTCTTGGTTCTTGTCAATTAAAATCAAGAACCTCCTTAACAAAATGGGTCTTGGATACCTTGAGAATGATTAGGGAAGGATGTAGATGTTCATATAATCTTTTAAACATTCCCTGTTTCCAACAGACAGAACAATTTGCCAATTATCCGCTATGCCGCCTGTTAGTTGATTTTTGTTGTGGAAGACTGTCCCCAACCCAGACTATTTCCTCCTTTCTATCCTAGATAATTCAAAAAGAAAGTCAGTCCAAGAAAGCTGTATACCTTTATGCCTACATGTCAGGAAGATGGTAAGTCAAATTTACAAAGATTTGGTCAATATAAACAATACATGGCATTGATGTCAACATCAGGCAGAACTGCCCTGCATCATTTTGCTCTAGAATAAAAAATCAGCCACGTATTGAGAGTTGGAATACTGAGGTGCAGATGAATTCTTCTATTTCTAATTAAACTGAACAGCTCCACCAACTCATTTGGTGTTCAAATCCCTAATTATTTTTTACTTTCTAGATTATGCTATTACATAATGGTTTTGTGGGGGAGGTGGGTGGGTAAAAACCCCGATTCACAGTTCCTGGGAGAAAAGCCATAGAGGGAAAGGGGGCGAGTGCATCTGTGTGAGAGAAACTCCTTCAAGGAAGGGTCTTTGTTTCATTTTTCACCTTGAGCTCCCATTGAACCCTCTGACCTCTTAGTTGCTCTGTCTCCAGGGGACTTTCCCTTCATCCCTCCTTAGTCACCTTGTTCCCGTGGCCAGCGGTAGGCCCTCGTCACCACTGGTATTTGCAACCCTGGGAACAGCGTCAACGTCGAGCGCCTCTTGCGGTTCCCACCCGGCCCTCAGCAGGCGTTGAGACAATGCCCACTGCAGCCAGCCGCTCTTCCGGTCCATCATCTCTGCAGCAGGTCGCGCTTCCCAAACACGGCTACAGAGTCCATCTCCTCCCCGATTCTCTTCTGCAGTGGGGCCCTGTCACTCCCTTACCAAGAGGCGGCTTCGGTTTCCCTACCTGTTTGAATCTGCGGTGTTGAGTGCCTGCTTTGACCAGTAGAACACAGTGTCCAGACTCAGCCCTCATTTGGCCAAACTGCTTCTGCTTCCTCTTAGAATGCCGGGTGCCCGTAGGGGGTCCGATTACCCCGCGACCACACTGGAGAAGCCGAGGCACGTAAAGGGGCTCAGAGAATGCGGCCTCAGCCGCGAGAGTGAAGAAGCCAACAAGCAACCCAACTGTCACAGAACCCCAAGGACTCCGGAGCCAAAGTCAGCAGATACCTCTGAAGTCGGAACAGGGGTCTGAAGTCACGCTAAAATAAAGAAAGGGAATTGATTAAAGTTTGTCAAGAAGTAGCAGGAACTGGAGAACACTATGCTAAGTGAAATAAGCCTGACCGAAGACTAATACCATCTGATCTACCTATAAGTGGAACCTAATCAACAAAACAAACAAGAGAGCAAAATAGAACCAGAGACACGGAAATAAAGAACAAACTGACAGTGGCCAGAGGGGCGGGGGAGGGGGTAAGTCAAGGGACACATATAAAGGGCCCACGGACAAAGCCAACGGCAGGGCGGGGGGCGGAGGACTGGACTGGGAGAGCTGGCGGGCAGGGCAGGGGAGAGCAACGGGGGGAAATGGGGACAACTGTAACTGAACAACAATAAAAACATTAAAAAAGAATAGCCCTTAAAATAAAGTAACACTGTAACCTAAAAAAGAAGAAGAAGGAGTAGTAGCCATCCCACACAGCTTGGCAGGTACCCGTTTCCTAAGCCTGGCAAAAGATGGGCAGTTGAGTTTCTAGAGAGGACAGAAGGTCTCTAGAAAAGACGACACGCTGGACACAGACTGCACACTAAACAGAGGTGTTACGTGAAAGCTGATGAACAGATTAGTCAGCCCCCACCCCCTCCAGCCCCCACCTGTGGCACATACGCAGTTCCGGAACGGATAACCAAGCGTATACCCTTCAGTCTGCTCTTGGGAATTTGACATGCTCGAGAGAGAAAGAACAAGGTCTCACATCGGGAGTCCCCCCTGGGTCCAGCTAAGTCACTGTGCCGCAGTGACCCTCAGCCCTCACTGTGCCCCAAAATCACCTGGGAAATTTAAAAATTATCATTAGCTGGGCTCCATTCCCAGGTCTGGCGTAAAACGTGGGCATCTGTATTTTTAAAAATTTCCCAGATGATCTTCATCCACAGCCAAAGGATTGCTCTACAGTGAAGCTGTGGGCAAGGCTCACCGCCAAGAACAGAGCTCCCCATCCGTGTTTAAGTGACCTGCCAACTGACAGTCAGTAGACCGTTGAGGAAAGCAGTTAACGTTAAGAGAGACCAAAGTTAAAACGTGGAAAAACAGCAATTTGGAGAAAACAGATTATGTAGGCAGAAGAAAATGTAGGGGAAAGAACCCAACTATGTAATCAATGTGGTTGCTGAGACAAGATATGTTGCCTCCCTGAAAACCAAAACAGAGTAACCTTTTTTTAAAAGGAGTCTTATGAAGACAAAAATAGGCCTAGTAATTTGAAGTGTGAAATTAAAAACAAAAATGTAATAGGAGTTACAAGATTAAAGTTGAGAAATTCGACCACACTAAGATATTTTGATATCGTAAAATAGTACATTAAGAATGACGTCTTGCGAAGTATAGGTAAATACATAAACAATGAGCAGGCATCCTTGGGAGGCACTGGCTGGCGGGGGGTGGGGGGGTGGGGGGGTGGGGGGGCGGCGCCGGAGATGGGGGAGGGGGGAGGGGCGGCGTCTGTCTGTAAGGAGACTTCATGAGCGCCTGTGTTGGAGCCCTGGCTCACTCCTCCCCGCCCAGGACTGTCCTCCTCATCACTTTATCTGGAAAGCATTTACTTGCCCTCCCACAAGCCCTTCTGACTTACCCCTATCAGAACTGGGCCAATCGCCCAGTGTCATTATTGCTGCTTTCCTTGTTCTCATGCCCCCAATATGAGCTTTCATACCCTCAAAGCGTAAGCTTCTTAGCTTCATCGCCTAGCACAATTCCAAGTACGGAGTAGGAGCCTCAGAAACATGTGTCAAGTGAACAGCTTGACACCCACCGAACCATATTTCAGGAACTATTTTGCTGAGTCTAATTCTGGTTTCACATGGGGCCAGTCACGGGATAAATTGACCAATTTGCAGTTCCATGAGCGCATTATTGCCCCATTATTCAGGCAGCCCGGTTAAAATATTAACTTGAAGTATAAGGTAAATAATGCTGGCATGCTATAAGCAGTACCTAGTAAAAGTGAAGTGCATTCCTTCTAGAGTTCTGTACCTTGGAATCTGAAATGTGGGAAGCTTCTAGAAGGGTCATTGGCTCACCTAAAACAATGCAAAATTTTGTGTGTACAGGCATTTTTCTGGAAAGAGAACCCATAATTTCTATTACATTACGAAAGAAATAAATGACTCCAACACATTTACACATGACTACTCTGGGCACTAATACCTTAGAGTTCGCATTTGCCGTTCTTCAGAGAATCATAAACCTCTTTACATATCTTATTCTCCAAAAACCCTGGAACACAGAGGTGGGAAAGTTACTATCCTAGATTCGAATACACACACCAATTCAACTATGTAGTTTTAATTAACTTGGAGTAGAACACTAAAACAAATAGAAAAATTGGCCCATATCCAAAAGTGGGTTGGGTAAATTCTACACAGAATTCTTACAAGTTTTATACCCATGTTATTTCACATTTCCCAGAAAATAAATTTTAATGCTCAAAGTACTATACAGAGTGTCAGAAAAGTAAATTCAGAGATTAAGCATTATTTCTGATTACTGGAAGATGCTATTTAAGGTCAAGTGACCTGTTTTTAGGTTACTGAAATAGAATTCAAAATGCAAAGCAATGAAGCAGGAGCCAATGTCAGAGCAGCCCGATCTCTCACTTTTCGGGGCATGGTTCACGTTTCCCATTAATAAAAATGCACAGTGTTTGAATATGCACAACAGACTAGAATACCATACATGTGGAATGAGGTTAACTTTATTGAGCTTGCCGACTAGCTTAGCCTGGCTCGAAGTGAACTCGCTGACATGAGACGAGAAAGTATGTGCACCACGGACGAACAGGAACTCGGTCTGGTAGCGCGGTATCAAAATACGAGGCGTTTATGAGGGAGTGAGGTGGGGAGGGCAAAGGACATCATTCAGATTTTTCAAACATTTCCAGAAAGTCATTAAATAAGAAACCGTCCATCTCTTCTTCTCTGGAATATTAAGTAATGTGTTAAAGAGACGCTTGGTCTGCCTGGCTACAAATTGGTGCTTCCGAGG